GTTTCCTTTTTTTTTTTTTTTTTTTTTTTTTAAGATGGAGTTTTGCTCTGGAGTGCAGTGGCATGATCTCGGCTCACTGAAACCTTCTCCTCCAGAGTTCAGGCAATTCTCCTGTCTCAGCCTCCCTAGTAGCTGGGATTACAGGCATGTGTCACCACACCCAGCTAATTTTGTATTTTTAGTAGAGGTGAGGTTTCTCCATGTTGGTCAGGCTGGTCTTGAACTCTCAACTTCAGGTGATTCGCCCACCTCAGCCTCCCAAAGTGCTGGGATTACAGGCGTGAGCCACCGTGCCCGGCAGTTTCCTTTTCTGGTTCTCCAGGGGAAACAATCCAAAACAGACTAAGAAATCTCAGGGGTCAAGCAATTTGGGAGCCCGAGGTGGGTGGATCACTTGAGGTCAGGAGTTCCAGACCAGCCTGGCCAACATGGTGAAATCTCTGTCTCTACTTAATACACAAAAATTAGCCAGGCATGATGGCTAACACCTGTAATCCCAGCTACTCAGGAGGCTGAGGCATAAGAATGGTTTAAACCCAGGAAGTGGAGGTTGCAGTGAGCCCAGATTGCACCACTGCACTCCACAGCCTGGACGACAGAGCGAGTCTCTATCTCAAAAAAAAAAAAAAAAAAAAAAAAAAAAAATTCTCTCAGGTCAGGTGCAGTGGCTCACACTTGTAATCCCAGCACTTTGGGAGGCTAAGGCAGGTGCATTGCCTGAGCTCAGGAGTTTGAGACCAGTTTGGGCAATATGTGGAAACTCCACCTCTACTAAAAAATATAAAAAATTAGCTGGGTGTGGTGTTGCCCACCTGTTATCCCAGCTACCTGGGAGGCTGAGGCACGAGAATTGCTTGAACCTGAGAGGCAGGAATCAATCGAGATTGTGCGACTGCACTCCATTCTGGGCGACAGAGCAAGACTCTGTCTCAAAAAACAAGGCCAGGTGTCATGGCTCATACCTGTAATCCCCACACTTTGGGAGGCCAAGGTGGGTGGATCACTTGTAGTCAGGAGTTAAAGACCAACCTGGCCAACATGGTAAAATCCCGTCTCTACTAAAAATGCAAAAATATTAGCAGGCTGTGGTGGTGTGCGTATGTAATCCCAGCTACTCGGCAGGCTGAGGTAGGAGAATCACTTCAGCCCGGGAGACTGAGGTTGCAATGAGCCAAGATCATGCCGCTGCACTCCAGCCTGGGTGACAGAGGGAGACTAAGTCTCAAAAAAACAAAAAAGAATCTCTAAATTTCTCTTTTTAAAATTTTTTTAGAGATTGCTCTGTCACCCAGGCTAGAGGGCAGTGGCATGATCATAGCTTACTGCAGCCTTGAACCCCTGGACACAATTGATCCTCCTGCCCCAGCCTCTCAAGTAGCTGAGACTATAGGCACGTGCCACCATGCCTGGATACATTTTTTATTTTTAGTAGAAATGAGATCTTGCCATGTTGCCCAGGCTGGTCTCCATCGCCTGGCCTCAGGTGATCCTCCTGCCTTAGCCTCCCAGAGGGCTGGGATTATAGGCATGAGCCACCATACCTGGGGCATTTGCCAGTCTTGATGACCAAAATTGTTTGTGTTCTCTCAATTCAGATGTATCCTTTGAATTGTGTCTTTGATAGGATTGACTGTGTCTTTTGCTGAGTCAAGCCTTTAACTTTGATGAACATAATCTTTATCTTCATCCCAAATGTCAACCAAACCATGTCACAGCCCCTGAAAGGCCTCTCTGCCTTTGTTCCTTTGGTTGTTCTTTCTTGCCCAGTTCAGTCCTTCTGCTTCTTCCTCCCTGCCTGTCCAGTTTTACCAATTCTGTTGTGTTTTTTTTTCCTCCTGAGACATAGTCTCACTCTTGTCACACAGGCTGGAGTGCAATGGCGCAATTTCAGCTCACTGCAACCTCTGCCTCCCTGGTTCAAGCTATTATCCTGCCTCACCCTCCCAAGTAGCTGGGATTACAGGCATGTGCCACCATGCCCAGCTAATTTTTGTATTTTTAGAAGAGACAGGGTTTCGGCATGTTGGGCAGGCTGGTCTCAAACTCCTGACTTCAAGTGATCCACTCACCTCAGCCCCCCAAACTGCTGGGATTACAGGTGTGATCCGCTGCACCTGGCCCAGTTTTACCAGTTCTTTAGGGCTTATCTGAAGCCACATCTTTCCTTGACTTTGGCCTCATTCAGTTTGTTGTTTGTTTATGTTCTGTACATTCTGCCTTACACAGTTGGGGATTTTCTGTTTATGCCAATTCGTTTACAAAGTCCTTGAGAGCAGGTACTGTATCTCTTACTTCTCCAGTACCCTGCACAGCCTACACACACTTACCGGCATGAGCGTTCAGTGGGAATTAAACTGAATCAGATGTCAAGGAATGTTATGGTCATTTCTGCCTCATCTCAGTGACCAAAACAAAACTCACTTTAGAAGATTCCATATAGGTTAGGCATCACACATTCTCAAGAAAATAATATTTTTCCTATTTTGAAGTCAGAAGAATCCCTTTTCACTTGATAACTGACACAGCAACTTTACAACTAATGTTTCTTGCTTTTCCTTAATAGGCTGCATGTTAAATGGCCAAGAGGTGAGACTTACTATTCACTATGAAAATGGGTTCACCATCTCCAGGGAAAATGGAGGCTCCAGCAGCATACTGTACCGCTACCCCTTTGAAAAGCTGAAAATGTCTGCTGATGATGGCATCCGAAATCTATACTTGGATTTTGGTGGTCCCGAGGGAGAACTGGTAAGAGTGTTTCTGAAACACGTGTATCTAATAGATGTTCTCTCTTTTCTTCTCATTACTTCTTACCCCTTATGTACAAAATCGTGGACTGACATTCCATTTAGAACTACGAAATTTTAAATTAAAAAAAGTTTTTTAGGCCGGGCGCGGTGGCTCAAGCCTGTAATCCCAGCACTTTGGGAGGCCGAGGCGGGTGGATCACGAGGTCAAGAGATCGAGACCATCCTGGTCAACATGGTGAAACCCCGTCTCTACTGAAAAATACAAAAAATCAGCTGGGCATGGTGGCGCTTGCCTGTAATCCCATCTACTCAGGAGGCTGAGGCAGGAGAATTGCCTGAACCCAGGAGGCGGAGGTTGCGGTGAGCCGAGATCGTGCCATTGCACTCCAGCCTGGGTAACAAGAGCAAAACTCCGTCTCAAAAAAAAAAAAAAAAAAAAAAAGTTTTTTTTTTTGAGACGGACTTTCGCTCTTGTTGCTCAGGCTAGAGGGCAATGGTTCGATCTCTGCTCACTGCAACCTCCACCTTCCTGGTTCAAGTGAGTCTCCTGGCTCAGCCTCCCGAGTAGCTGGGATTACAGGCATGCATCACCATGCCTGGCTAATTTTGTGTTTTTAGTAGAGTTGGGGTTTCTCTATGTTGGTCAGGCTGATCTCGAACTTCCAACCTCAGGTGATCCACCCGCCTTGGCCTCCCAAAGTGCTGGGATTACAGGCGTGAGCCACCGTGCCTGGCCTTCAGTTTTAAATTCTCTACTTTTTAGTTCTTCCTATCAGGCTTGGGGGAACCCATTACACCACCAGTTGTCTCCTAACTGGGGATGTGAAACCTCACACCAGTATTATGACATGGAATCACCTTTTTCCATAGTGCACTTTTGCCTGTGGCTTTAAGTTCCCAAGAGTTTCCATAGCTCTGGTACATTCTTAACCTAAGTTAAAAGTAAATTTATTTGCATTTTTGTTTATTAAGTTGTCTGTATATGGTAGTGATACGTCCTTTCTCCACAGACCATGGACCTGCACTCTTGTCCAAAACCGATTGTATTTGTGTTGCACACGTTCTTATCGGCCAAAGTCACTCGTATGGGACTGCTTGTATGAGCAACAAAAAATCAGAAAAGGACATTGACTGTCACAAGAAATATTTCCACCTCGAAAAAAAAAAAAAGCACAAAAGAAAACTCTTTGCTCTCTCCTTCAGCACAGTGCCTTCGCAAGGACCTGCAAATCACTGCTGAACCATAACCGTGTTTAAAGAAGAGCCTACCTTTCACAATCGACCTTGGCCAGATATTCTAGGACTCTAAAAAGCTCCAGAATGAAGCTATTGATTTATTATCTTGTTTCATAATATGGTTTATGAGTAATTAGGTTTATTTCTCCTGCTAAAAAGAATGGCTCATTGTTTTCCTTTTAGACATAATCAAATACCCAAGCATTGTTTTTTCTTCTTCCTGTAGGATTTGTGTTGTGCTTAGCCTTGATCTGTTGTTCAGAACAATTGTCCCTTCCCAGGTGCTAGCTTGCAGCAGCGTGTTGCTTCGTGAGCATTCCAGATAGGTTGTATGTCTTGGAATTTACTGTACTCACAAGCTCCTTCCACCATAGGAAGTCCTTGAGTTGTATCACCAAAGGGTTCTTCCATCAGCCCTGGTTCTCCCTCTATCCCAGCCTGGCAGTCACTTCCCACCTTACCCCAAGCTTTGCCACTCTTAAGTGCTGTCTCTAGGACTTAGAACTTGCAAAATTTGATTTGTCTTGCCTTCCACTTCCTTTCTAGTGGTGACTGAGTTGAAAAGCAAGTTGGAAGCTACTGCTTTGAAAGAAAAGTTTTGCTTGGTTTAGGTTTTTCCAATTTTAGTTTTGGTAGGAGCCAGGGAATATTATAAGATTTATTTTAAAAGAAAATTCCTCTTCCTAGGTTAAGCCATTTTTTTTATTGCTTACCAAATGTGCCTTTGGTTAGGGTTAGTGGAGCTTTATTAGTCACTATTTGAATAACTGGAAATCACTGCCATTTCAAGGAGATCGCCTATCTTAGTTTGGAGGAATAGTCTTCAAGGTGGGTTTCCTTAATGGCATCTCTTCCAGTAGGCAGATCTCTTTGAGCAAGATAAATCCTAAAGAGCCAGTCTGCTTGAGGAGTAGACTTTGTGGGTGAAGCCAGCTCTTCTGCATAAACATCATGTCGAGTTGTTTTGGGCTGCCTATGTAGCATCCTGGCTGTGGCCTGGCCCTTTGTGGCAGCAGTCGCATAGACAAGCAACTGCTCATTCAAGATTTAGTGTTGGCTTCACAGCACTCCCTACAGTGGGCAGGGTGATGAGACCGTGGAACAGCTACCTGCTTTTGGTTAAGCATTGCCAGATGTCATCATTAGGACACAGTAGCAATAAGATTGCTGATTTTGTAGTATTAGAAAATCACACTCAGCTTGTTTTTCCTAATTTTGAAGGAGGTATATATCTGCAAACATTTAAAGTGGTATAATATCAATATAAAATGTCAAGATTAGCGCAGTCCCAGGATCTCAAAGAATAGGTAGTATTATTTGGATGTCCTTTTTTTTCTGAGATAGAGTCTCACTCTGTTGCCCAGGCTGGAGTGCAGTGGCATGATCTTCACTCACTGCAACCTCCACCTCCCGAGTTCAAGTGATTCTCCTGCCTCAGCCTCCCAAATAGCTGGGATTACAGGCACCTGCCACCACACTCGGCTAATTTTTGTATTTTTAGTAGAGGCAGAATTTCACCATGTTGGCCAGGGTGGTCTTGTACTCCCAACCTCAAGGAATCCACCTGCCTTGGCCTCCAAAAGTGCTGGGATTATAGGCATGAGCCACTGTGCCTGGTCCAAGATAAATTTTCATTTAAGGGAAGGAATAAAAATGTCTGGAAGGTGTAGCAATGATTTCTAGAATCAGAATTTCACTACATTAATACCCTCAGGTAAGCAATCTTAAAGCCTCTATGCAGTGAGAGCATTATTAATATGAGATATTGAACGATGTGTTTACAGACTTCAGCAGCAGAGCCACGTGGTTGAGGTTTTCTGTGTTAATGTGAAAGGCTAAGCCACTAAGATTTGCAGGGGAGCTTCTGAGCCACCATCCTCATTGGTTATATGAAGATGTAAAATAGGTGTGATTTAAATATGAGCAGGAAATGCAAGTCATGTGTTCATTTCACTCATTTTGGTCAAGGTTAAACTGACGTGTGTAGCACTGAGGTCTGTAGGGATCTTAATAACGACTTTTGAGTCTTAGTGTGAAATCAAAGTATGGGAGGTTTCCTTTGTCCACTAGCAGCCCCAAGAACCAGAGCCCTTATGCTGCTTTTCTTAACACTTAACAGCTCTCCAATCATGATGACCAAGGTTGTTCTTCAATCAAACGTGTTTTTGGGATTTTCAGTCCACAAATGAAGTGCTCTCTAATGAATGGGACACCATGATAAATATGTATTTATATTTAGATGCCAAAGTATGGCAAATTATTTTCAAATGATAATGAAAAATGGGCATTTTCAATGTTCTACCTTTTTTATAGAACCAGCTCATTTTTCATTTCTTTTTCATTTTGAATTAAGCAAATTGTTGAGGATGTGGTGGGCTCCAGTGTGTAGAATGGAAAGGCAACTGCAGAATCAAGTCCACTCCCCATTCAGAGGGACTGCTTCCTGTGCCTCCCAAACCCGGGGTTTAGACAGCTTCTCCACATTCCACACAGATGCCTAGGAGCAGCCAGTTGGTATATGAAACGTCTCCCGCCTCTTCTCCTAAAACTTCTCTCCTTTCTCTTCATAAAAAGAAAAAGAAAGGAACAAAAGAAAAACGCTCAGTTTTTCTTTTTCTGAAAAAGGTAAGTCCTTTCCTGAAGTCATCAAATGAAATATTACCTAGAAATTAGTATCTAATGTTTTATATGAAGAAATACTTCATATGTTTTCATATGTATGTTCATACAGTATTTATTAGATAGTTGTAACTGTAAACTCACTTTCCTAGTAGACAAGAGTTTCAGGTTAAATACTGGAACATATATAGGCAATCAAAAATACTATTTTAAATGTCATCCACCTATTTTAAAGCCATGTTTTAGCACTTCTTAGGCCAAAGAAGGTCTGATAGTGCCTATTTTTATCTTCTATACTGAAAATTATTGCATGGCAGGAGAGATTGGATTATTTATTATATTTTTATAAGTAAAAAAATCTTTCTAAACAACAAATAACCTAACATTATTACTGATTATTTTCCTAATTTACCCTCCTAAGTTGAATGGTAACAAAGCTTTTTCCAGCTGACTGAATGCACTTAGCTGATAAACGGAATTTGTTTCTTTTTTTCTTTCTTTCTTTTTTTGAAACAGGTTCTCACTCTGTCACCCAGGCTGGAGTGCAGTGGTATGATCATAGCTGACTGCAGCCTCAACCTTCTGGGCTCAAATGAACCTTTCACCTCAGCCTCCTGAGTAGCTGGGACCACAGGTGTGTGTCACCACACCTGGCTAATTTTTGTGTTTTTTTGTTTTGTTTTGTTTTGTTTTGTTTTGTTTTGTTTTGTTTTGTTTTAGAGACAGGGTTTCACCATATTGCCCAGACTGGTCTTCAACTCTTGAGCTCGAGCAATACTTCTGCCTCAGCCTCCCAAAGTGCCGGTATTATAGATGTGAGCCACTGCACCTGGCCCCAGAAATTATGCTTAAAAAAAAAGTTAAGCTGTGTGGAATCTGGACAAGGCTGTGTTTATCCTAGAAACAGGATTTGTTGTAAATGGTTTTGATGGACAAAAGTGTGAGAAAAGGTTACTGATTTTTTTAAATTTTGTGAGAAACTCCAGGCCTTCTTGCTTAACTTATATGCATGTGAATATATTTGTTTGTTTTCAAAGCCATAGAAGAATCTCTGTTCATATATTTTAATGCAAATTATCTTGTATGCTGCTATGCAAATTCTATTAAAAGCCCTACCTGCTTAAGAATTAAACATTTTTTAAACTTTCAGGGAAGACCTGTAGATTCAAGCACTTTTTCTGCTTTTTTTGTATCTTATCTTGGACACTTATGCTGAATTATGTTCTTATTATTTTCACTGGTTATAAGCTATTGCTTGTACATATTTAAACTATCCAAATATCCAGCATACATTTCCACGTGGCTGCCATCGGCTGTTGATGCCATGAATGAAATGGCTGGTTAGAAAGCCAAAGGTCTTCTTTTTCCAATCCCTAATGAATAAGTAAAATGCCAGATCTTTTTGATCTCAAAGCAAATTGTTCTGATCAGATCAAATATCTATGTAATGAAAAGAGACTTACTTAAATGTGGGATTCTGCTTAAAATTTAAGTTGAATTTGACTGTATTCATATTCATTCTTTTTATATATCTCTATCAGGTATGACATTAAGTACCAAGTGGTATTATATTTGACTTTGAGTTTGGAAATCACTTTCAGTTAAATTTCAGTTGTAATTGTGGCTTTTTTTTTTTTAACCCCACTGAAGATGAAAGTAGAGGAATCTGCCAAATCCTACTGTTCCCTCTGTGTGCCCTTATTCTAATTGCTTGGTAATCTAAAATTATTCTGACTTTCCACATACTGTCTTTAAAAACCAGTTGTAGCAATCTGCCCCCCTCTACCCTTTAAGCTAAATCTTTCACTGTGCTGGATACATAGACACTCGATAAATGTGTGATGATAGTTCTAAAATAATTATGCTATGTATCAGGGCTGTGTATTTTTGAGCAATATGGTTATTCCTATGCTGTGATGCTAAGTGGAATTTATTTTACACTAGTAATAGACTACTTAAGTGGCTGATTTGAAACCCTTTCTCTAAAAAAACAAACATCTGGCAGATGAGTGACAAATTCATTCTCTTAAAGGATAGAATTTCAAATTAAGGGTAAGGTATAATAAATAGGCACATAGAGCACATGTGTTTTTGGTTTTGTTTTTAGTTTTTTTGTATCTTTCTGACTGGCTAAACTGCCAGCTAGAAGAACAGTTGTTATATAATAACTCAGAAGAATCTTTTAACAAGATTTCTTTTGTTTCAAAACATAAACTTGAGTTTAATTTCTTGCCACCTCTATTCTTCCCATATTGGACGACAGAAATGAAGCTTATTCTAGTTTTAGAAGAGGATCCACATGTAATGTAATGCATAAATATGCCTTTTGCAAATTATCGCTTGTTATCCAGTGAACATTTGTTATAGTCAACAGAAATCTACCACATAAGCCATAATCTTTGAATTGCCCCTTTTAAAAATAGATTGGTTAAAACCAAAGACCTGTAAGAGAGAAATTATACTTCATTGT